GAACCCCCCTTGGGGCACAGGGAGGTCCTTGGGGACAATTTGGGGGTGACCAGAGCCCCCCTTGGGGCACAGGGAGGTCCTCGGGGACAATTTGGAGGTGACCAGAGCCCCCCTTAGGGCACAGGGAGGTCCTCGGGGACAATTTGGGGGTGACCAGAACCCCCCTTGGGGCACAGGGAGGTCCTCGGGGACAATTTGGGGGTGACCAGAACCCCCCTTAGGGCACAGTTTGGGGGTGTCTCGTCCCCTCTTTGGGCACCACGTGTGGCCTCACCGGAAAGGGGCGTGGTCCGAGGCAGGGGCGTGGCTTTATAATAAACCACCAATAGGAAAAGGCGGATTTCGCGCTGACCACGCCCTCTTCCCCGCCCCGCTGCCTTCGGACCCTCAGGCGCTTAAACATCAATCAAAGCGTGGCGGGCTGGCTGCCCGACCAATCACAGGCCGGTCTCGGCATAAGGGGCGGGGTTTATCGGTATCCACCAATCAGAATGCTCAATGGGCGGGACCTTGGTCTCGCGGGCTTAGGCGCATTTCCGGGTCGCGAGGCCGTTTCCGCCTGGCCCGGAAGTTCTGCTGAGGGAGCTTCCGGTGCAGCTGCGGCGCGGCATCGTCGGGCCGCGCTCCCGGTCCCGTTCCCGGTCCCGTTCCCGCTCCCCGTGCAGCCATGGCGGACGTGACCGCCCGTAGCCTGCAGTACGAGTACAAGGCGGTGAGTGCGGGCCCAGTGCCCTGAACCCCCTCTCGTTACCGTGAACCCACCCCGGTACCGTGAACTTTTTCCACCCCAATTTTGGGACCCATTTCGGGGCCCTCAGCCTCATTCTGGGACCCTCACACCCCACTCAACCTCATTTTGGGACCCCTAGACCACCCTCGGCACCATTCTGAGAACCCCAGTCCCATTTTGGGATTCTCTAGCCCCATTTTGAGACCGCCAGTCGCATTTTGGGATTCCCCAGCCCCGTTTTAAAATCTCCAGTCCCATTTCTGGGCACCTCAGACCCCTTCAGCTCCATTTTGGGATTTCCCAACCCCAGTTTGAGATCCTCAGCCCCATTTCTGGACACTTCAGCCAGTTTTTTAGGATTCCCCAGCCCCATTTTGAGTCCCATTTTGGGACCCTTTGGACTTCTCCCAGTCTCATTTTGGGATTCCCAGACTCCCTTCAAACCCATTTTGAGACCCCCCAGTCCCATTTTTTAACCCCCAGCCCCATTTTAAGATCCCCCCAGCCCCATTTAGGGACTCCCCAACCCCATTTTTAAACCCCCAGCCCCATTTAGAGACTCCCCAACCCCATTCTGAGACCCCCCAATCCCACCTTGAGACCCCTTGCACTTCTTCCAGCCCCATTTTTTAACCCCAGCCCCATTTTGAGACCTCCAGCCGCATTTTGAGACTCCTCAACCCCATTCTGAGACTCCCCCAATCCCACCTTGAGACCCCTTGCACTTCTCCCAGTCCCATTTTGAGAATCCAG